TTGAACGTAAATCTCACCATTTTGTTGAAGATCATGTGTGGAAAAGACTTTTGGTGAAATATGTTTTGTCCGATCTCCTTTGATTATATCCTCCCTTCAATTGAGCTATGTATTATTTTCGTATATGGTGGTTGTAATATCATTTTCAAAAGAAATCACATATTTTCTGAATATGATAGATCATGATTCCAACCAAACACACTCCCGACTTAATTCATAGATAAATATTATTTCTGCATGATTTGAAGAAGTGATTACTAATGTGATTCTTTGAATTTCATTGTTGTGTCTCCATATGTAAATAATAGTCCATTTGCGATCGAGCTTTGTGTAGATCAAATAAATATTTTGTAACTACATAATCAAATCATTTCTTACTCGGGGATTGATCATTTCAATTTTATTGAAGCTCGTCTTTTATTCTGAAAGAAAATCACACATCTTCTATGTGTTGAGTCACTTGCTTTGTTAGTTTCTTATCATAACTTGAATGATAATATGACAATCCTTTCACATAACTTTCATTATGTATATCAAATAATCTTCTAGCATTTGCATAACCAGCAATCTGTAAGTGCACCAATTGCACTAATACATGACATTTTAAATCATTTTCATGAGATCAAAAGATTCTTTCTTTGTGTTAAGCAGTCTCAAAATCATTGGGTACTTAATGGAATTGCTTTAAGACCTTTTAAATCCTTCAAGGATTTTCATATAACCTTCATCGTCTAGTTAGACATACTAATCCTTCATTATGCATATTCAAGTATTTCATCTATTACTAGACTGAAACAAGTCTCATTGCATCCACCACTGGAGAATATATCTCCATTTAATAATGTCAGGATTTTTGCGAAAATCCATTAAGCCCCGAGGCACAAACCGCACTTTATACCTTACGGTTATACTTTCGCACAATGATTCATTACTACTCTGACATTATATTTTGATCCATGAACTATAAGATCAAAAACATCACTTTTCTAAGTGAAACAAAATATACTTGAACAGTGCAAATTATTTATTTGTCCACACTATATGACATATTCGAATTTAAGATCCTCGTAACCATTTATAGCATTGAGTGCTACTTCATATCAAAGATACCGTCGACGGTCATTCTGATATCGATTCCAATACGACATAACTTATCGAGATCTCTTCATTTTTCATCATTTTCAGGTACCTAAACTTTTGTCAAGGTTTTATGAAGTGTTATGTCATATTGCTCTTTCAAAGCACTTACCTCATTATCATGACCATTTTGATAATTTGCTCCTCTCCTTCCTCAAGGAGTTTTACGTTTGGAATCGATTGGTCTATCACGCTTCTGACGTACCATAGACTCTGTCTTTCAAGGACTATTTATTGGAGCATTTGCAGCTTAATTAATATATTGGGTCAGCAAATACATCTGGCAAATTATTTGCAACATTTTGCAAATGAAGGATCTAGATAATTCACCCCACACATAATTTTCAGCTGCTAAACATATCTCCCCCTAATGTTAGGAAATCTAACATTTACCCCCAACCTCATTTGGGGATCCATCTTTGTGCGTGGTGGGAATAAAATCATATGTGCACACATCAAATTTTTAGATGGAAATTATTTGGTTCCTGACCCTGAACCAATTGTGATAGGAGAACCTTGTTGGCTTGATGCTTACACGTTAAATAAACTCATCTCATAGCAAATTTTATTTGAGAGATTTGTTCTCATAATCAATGGTCTAGCTATAATTGGAGGCAAACAATTTTTGCTAAACCAATCAATATTATCAACATAATTTTATAGTATGGAACTGTGCTCTTAATTTAACAATTTGAGCAAACAACCTTACAAAAATCAATTTGTAAATTCATACAAATGCACATATGACCATACCATTGATGCATCTATTAAATTATAATAGTAAGCGGTCCACATGGCAGGTGAACGGGCCCATATTCACCTTTTTATATGTTCCAAATAATTTCAGGGGATACAATCTCAACCTTAACTGATAAAATGATCATTTTATCATGAGAACAAGCAACACATGAGAATTCTTGAAGAATCTTTTATTTCTTCAACATATAACCACATGAATTCTCAATTCTTTTGCATCACATTTGAACCGAAATGGTCAACCGATTATGCCAACTGATATTTATTCTAGTAAACTTCTAGTTTTTTTTTTCATGTGATTCCATCATCATGCCTATATTTGTATACAACAAACAAGAGAAAGGTGGGTAACCTTTTATGTAAATATTCATAACCTGCTTTTGATTGTAGTAATCTGAAGATATTTAATCTTTCAATAATTTACAGTCTCAATATAATAATTTTTTTTCAATTCCTCCGAAACTTAAAAAGTTTCTTTTGAGACTTACTACAACCTCAATATTATGAACTATTTTCATTTTCTGGATAGTAACAAATTAGTTCTTCCGAAACTCTTAATTAATTTTGTGTACTGCCACAAATTTCACAACACCATTCTTATGGTGACCATCTCCTTCAAGGAGAAAATTAGTATTATTGTCATGGTTAAAATTATTATATGCAAGACTTATTTCTTGACAACCAATGACAAATTTGTGTTGCCACACAACAATATTTATTTTGGTCATGACCACAACTTTTTTAGAAAAGAATTATTTCTTTCTTTTGTCCTCCAATAGTTCATAATAAAACATACCACAATATTTGTGTAGTACTCAAAGTATATGACCAAAATGAGCATTTTATGTCAAAATATATTTTTTTTCAATATCTCAAACCTCCCGAAGAGGTGAGATGTGGCATTTATCCAATCATACATGAACATGTCCTTATCCATACGAACACAAGTCACATTCTCTTCAAGAAATGACCATAACCATTTGTACATGCTCCATAAGTTTTTATTAGCATACCTTGACATTATCAAATTTATTTGACCCACCTCAACATCACTTCAAAAGTACTAAATGTACTACCACTTTGTATTTCTTTATTTTGATGGAGGATTTACAAAACTTTCAAATTGGGTTTCCCCAACCCAATGTGCCCAACCTTTCATACCACTTTGATGGCCAAAAATTACCTTCACATTTGAAGGACCATCTTAAGAACACATAATGTTCTTCCTTTTAATGACCACAATTGACCATTAATATTTTACCACACTCATATTCATACATTTAACCACTTGTCATTTACAGACACATTATATCCTGCTACCACATTCACATAAGAGAATGGAGCAAATCAATTGGACAAATTTCATGACTTTTATCAAGAGCATATTAATTTGCTCAGTCATCATTACATCGTCATTATATAACGTTGGGACTTGAACCCAACATCTTACCCATAAGAAGCCATTTTAGGTCATTATTTGTTGGACCCAATCCAATATTTTATTATCATGATGCACCAGGACTCTCACCCGATGTATTACCCTTTTGGTACGATAGGACTTGAATCCTTTGTCTTACCCTCAATCAATGACATAATAAGCAAATATAATAGGACTCACCATTGAGCCTTAAAAAAATATTGCCACTTTGTGATTAACATGCACAAATAAATATAGAACAAAAGAAACACAATAGAAATATTCTCAATAAGACAAGAAATATAGAAGATGAAAGCAATAGAAATAGGGAGACAAGAGATGAGAGTTTTTCTTATTATTCCAAGTAAAATAAATTAAAATATTTTAATAATAGTCTCTCACAATATTGTTATGAAGATTACCATAATTTACTAACCATTTTAAAATAACCACAAAACAAGCTTTGTTAGTACAAATAATAAATTAATAACTCAACAAGTAAATGTTTAGATAAAGAAAAATAAAGAGGTACAAAAGTAACCAATAATGATAATCCAATCAATATGTACATGCCACATAACTCAATAACTTATCTTTTAATAAAACAAGATCATAAAAAATAATTTCTTTACAAATTATTAACTTACAAAACTAATTTTACTCTTTTAAATATACAAGTGATCAAATTAAAAGTTTGCTCAAAGTAAAAGCAACTTGCCGGACTCATATGATTTTGAGATAGTAAGAAAACTAATGATGCATAATCAGAAGTAAAGTATAAAATAGATTATATAGTAATTTACCTTGTTTCTGAAAGAAAAATAAATGCAAATATGTTTACCTTCTTTATATTTACTTTGCTTCAATCCTTCAATAGTAGAACAATCGTGCTGATAACGTGTTGTAAAACTTAAGAACAAAAGAACAATATAAAGATGAAGACAAGAAGAATATAAGACAAGAGGAACAATATAATATAACTTTCTTTCTTTTAAGTATTCACCAAATTTTCAAGTGTATACAATATGAACCTTTATGCCTCTATTTATAGTGTAGCATAGAGGCATACAAAAAGTTAGTCATAAACATGACATTAACATAAATATAATGGAGGAAGTTATGGAAGTGAAAGGTTACAAGAATAATGGTTATAAAGTTCGAGGTTATGGTAATCTTCATAATGGAGGAAGATAATGGAAATAATGAGTGAAAATAACTTCTTGATGTAATGGACATCCACACTATAATATTTTATAACAGTAAAGATTAAAGTGTGTTTTAAGTCGTCTTCCCTTTGATATATCAAAGATGTATTCTTATTATTGCATTTCCTACCAAAAGAAAAAAAACTATTCGTTTATATTTTATTAAGAATAGAGTATTAAAAGATTAAAGGGACCCATCCTATATAGAAGAAAAATACAACCACGTTCTGTTGTGTGCAGTTTATTGACAAAAAAGTTCATAGATCTACTGAAACAACCGGCTGAAAATTTTCTAAATGTTACAACGGAGCCTTACACTTACTGGATGCTAATAACCCGTCTCCTTTCTTTTATTTATTTTTTCAGTTGAAGCAGCACATGATAGCCCATTTTATACATTGCACAACACATCTAATAGGAAACAAAATTTCTAATATTACGACATACAATATTCTTTAACAACTTCTCTAAATAAATTGTCAAAAGTAGAAACAAATTATCACATAATAATTTGATTAGAATCCGGCTCTCAGCTGCATTTAAATTTTCAACACAGGCACGGCCGAACCTTACTAGGAAGATCCAACTACAAAGTGAAAGTTCTTCACAATGTACGACCAAAACTGGTTGGTTAAATTCACAATGTAGAAGCTTACGTTTTCTAGTTAGGCATATACTTTGATAATTGTCCTGCATTCTGTATGGTAGGAGGAAGGAGGAAAGAAAGAAGAGCTCTATTTTCCTATCATCTTGAACATAAAATGTAACACTGGGCAGAGAGATGATTTCACTCCTTAACCTACATAAGAAATAACTAGAGTGATACATCCTGCAGCAGTAAAAGAAACAAAGGACACGCTGTCCTCACCACTTTCAACAAAAGATAGTTTTCTAGTGTCGTCAAAATTCATCAAGGGCTCAAAACCTTGGAAAATCATCAACACAAATTCTCCCTCTTAAATGTGGATGGACAAATGAACCATGGGAAGGGTTGATTATATCAGGGATGAGCAGAATTTAATGGTACATGTAAAGCATCAGCACACTCAATTGGGGTATGCATAAGTGGGTTCCATCTATCAAACACTATTCTGCCACCTCGGCCAATCCTTCCACGAGGGTTGAATGTGCGTCCAGCTACGCCATTTTCCATTGAAGAACCTGGAGGTGTGATACTTGCAGCTGCCAATTTTTCTGGATCAAGAGGTTTAGTAAACAGGAGAAGTGGCTCATTTGGATCCTACATCAAATCAATAAGAGCAAAGTCTGGTAATTAGTTTAGTACTATGAGTGCATTAAGTTCAATGTATAGCACATGCTTAGATACAAAGGACAAGTAACTCATGTGAATCTATGAATGATTAAAGAGGAGATTAAAAAGAATTATCAAAAGAGTAGGTAAGCACCAATTTGTGGAGCCATCCAGGTGGGACATATCGTCGTTTCAACTCTCGCTCTTGCCTCATGCTTCCAGCAGACACCATCACTGGCTTTGAGTCAACGAAGGTAAGATTTGGCGAGACATCAAACTGAGCATGTGGACGGCTAATAGCAGCATCATCCGAGTCAACATATTCCTCTTCACTTGAACCAAACATACTTGGGAAGGAAGAAAATCCAGGAAGAGCCAACGTGTCCTCGAAAAGCTCAATTTCATTCTGGAAACCAAGAAACTTACTATTAATTCAGAATCAAAGCGCATTGCACATAAAATGACCTTAAAGCTTATACCAAAGAGCTGAGAACCAGTTATGGTGCTAAAAGATATTGAATTGAAGAGGTCATGGCTATATGGGCAGTTGACAAAAAGGCAGTTGGCTAACAAAGATCTGTCCCACAATCAAAGATAGTACTTTGCCATAAAAAGTTACCTCCACTTTTAACCTATCCAAAATGATTTATCACCAGCCCATTCGGCACAACCAACTTTTAATGGATTACAAAATGTTCTTTTCCGGTACTGTTTCAAAAAAAAAGTTCTTTTCCAGTACTGCAAATGGAGTTGATTCATAACAGCATGTAATATAATTGACTCAATTTCATATAACTCAGAAAGCAATCATCATTAAAAAGAGAGTAGGCATACTCATAAAATGCTGTCCCCTGTTGTGACTTGTGACGCAAAAAAAGTTATTTCATTGTGGATTGTCAAACAGCAATATCACTTCAGCAAGTAGGTATTACAAGCATAAAAGTTGCAAAGGAGAAAGAGAAAATACCACACTCTACATACCTTGTGTTTCATTTGAAGTCTCTGAAGACTAACCTCACTCTCCACAACCTCTCGTTTCTTCTCCTCTCTCTGCATATAATCACATCAAAGGAGTTGAAAACTGCTGATAAGGTGATCAGAGAGATAGACTTTGTAAAGGTCTATAATTTCTTTATTTTGTGGTAACAAGCTTAGAACGATAAAAGTACATGCTATCCATATCTTCACATTGAAATTTTTTTGGTAAGTCTTCCACATTGCAGTCCATATATATTTAAAGCTAGGCCAAAGAGAGATGGCAAAAGAAGAGTGATGTGGCATCTCTATTTGGCCAAGAATCCTATTTATCTTTTTCTCTTCTTTTTTTGACAATTTCTTCTATTTCTTCTTGTACAAAAATTTAATGTGTCAATTACTACTCCATTCATTCATATTTTCACAACTTTTTATTACCATAACCCCTAAATAATTAACAGTCGTCTTAATGGAATCATTTGGCATTCCATATGGTAGTCCTATAAATGGAGACACTAACAGACTTTGTTGCAAAAAGAAATGATCATATTAGTCAAGAATGTCACCCTCAAGTGTCACCCTTCTTGAGTATCAGATATAGCAATAGGCCACAAGCAACCGGTTGTAGTAGTGTAGACAGACAGATTTTAAATAGGAGAAATCATATGAAATCGATTCCACCCAAAATAAGTACATTGCAAAACTTATAAGTAGCTTATGCAGTTTTGACATTGTTTGATTGTTTGCAATTTGTAATATATAGAAAATTCTATAAAACCAACTCAGGGAAGTAGACAGGTAGCAGCAAAGTTTGCATATAAACTTATGCAAAATTGTAATTCCTCAAATTGTTAACTTATTAGATTCATTAAATACTGCACTTTGTAACATATCATGCAATATGTTCTTATAATTGTTGCTTATCTTTATTTTACAACACATTTACCTTTTCTCTCATAAATTAGTTGTTTGCTTTTTTTTTTCTTCATCTTATTTAAGCTAAGTTGCTCGGACTCTTCACTTTTGGTGCCGCACCCATGTCGACACGATGTGGGTGTGGGTGTCGATGTGGGATCCGTACCCGATCTGGGCAACTGGTTTTGGGTACTTTGACCAAATTCGAGAGAGAAATTCTAGACAAATTCAATTATTTCTGTAATCAAAACAAAAACTAAGGTGAAATTGAAGAAAATGAAATACCTTGTATTTATAAATTTCTATTTTCACTCTCTTTCCTTTTATCTCCTTCCGGGATTCTCCTCTTGATCAATATTTTCTCCTCAAGTTTTCCACATAATATCTAATAATTTAGGTTTTATAGCTCTATTTTAGATATTTGAATTATTTTTAGCTGAATCCCCGCACCCATATCCAAATATGGATCTGTATCCCCATATATTAAAATTTAGATCATAAAGGATCTGACTTGTAGATCCGCACCCATTTCAGGCACCCGAGTCCGAGCAACTTAGTATTTAATAATTTCAAAATTTGCTCTTTCTAACTTGTGGTACTTATGCTATTCAAGAAGATTTTTTAATGTTACTACATAAGAGAACAAAGTTATTACTTAATGCCTTCCCTCTGTCCAAACAATCAGGAAAGCTAATTATCCATGGTTAAAATGGTGAGAGTGCTCTTGTGATGATGCAGATTAACTACAATCATTATTGCACAATCACATCATTATTTATGAGCAAGAACCCCCCAAAAGGAAAAGAAGCTTCCTTTTTAATTTTTTCATATGTAGCAAAACATGTATAATTCAATCGAGAAAAGAAGATTAATTGGACAAGTCATTGTGAGAGACGAGCATAACTCTTAACATTCAATTAATTTTAAATTTGGAAAAAATACAAGTATAGTTTTAATCAATTTTCATTTTTTATTGTATTTTTGTATTTTGATTTTGATTTCAAATACAAGGTATACATCCTTTCAAGAATAAGATTCCAACACAATTTAACCCAAACAAAGAAGTTGCAACATAAAAATTTAAAATTCATCTTACAAGGCTAATTAGGAGCTCGTCTTCCTAATGATTTTTTGTTGCTAATATTTAAAATTTAAAATTCATTCATATTTATAGTAAAAACTTAGCTTCTTCATTATGGATAATAATAATTTAAGCATTTTATTTGTGAGAATTAGCAAGTTTAAGATGAGAAAAAAAATTGAAGTATATTCTTTAATATGGAAAATGTATATAATTTTTCACGACCACGTGAAACATGGGCTGTTTTACTAGTTATTCAGAAAGACAAACCTTAATGAGAGCCTCAAGAATGGTCTTTGATTGGTCAAGGCTGCGCCTAACCTGTAGAATATGAGACATACGATTTTATACAATACAATTCAATTTAAAAAAGGAAGTCAACACAATCTTTAGCAGAGCCTCTGTACGAGATGCAAAGTATCCCTCTAACCTATTATATGGGAGGCTTGCTAGAGGAAATCAAGTCAGGTAACAGCTTTTGTAACTTAGTTCATCATTGTTATATCACCGAGACAATCATCCTATATTTGAGAGAATTAATCTCAGATAAGCAAATGATGTCAGGTGTAGGCACCAAAAACATTGGTATGAGTGACCTACAATTTGCAACTTAAATCCCACCATCTTAAAAAGATGTTCAAATTCATTTCGGAAAACAGGGAGGTTGAAACACAAAAAATCGCGATTATTCTGGTTTGGTGTTGCAATACCATATTCATGCAGAAGTTGAAGATGGATTGGACAATAGTTACAACTAAAAGTACATAAACTGAAGGAAATGAGGTGATAAAGAATGGCCACTTGGTTGTGCCAAAATTTTATAGTAAGGGTCACGAGCAGACTAAGAAAGATGCTGAGCAAGATCTGTGATGAAAGAGTGGCCTGGGCATGTTCATGCAGAAGTTGAAGATGGATTGGATGATAGTTACTACTAAAAGTACATAAAATGAAGGAAATGAGGGTGATAAAGAAAAGTCACTTGGTTATGCAAAAAGTTGATAGTAAGGGTCACGAGCAGACTAAGAAAGATACTGAGCAAGATCTGTGACGAAAGAGTAGCCTGGGCCAATAAGCAGGGCAAGGACACGATAACACAACCACAAATGAAAGCCCTGTTGGTAATTTGTTTTTTTTCTAGTTGTCAGCACGTGCAGAAGAAACGAATTGAGAACTCCAACTGTAATTCCCCACTCACCTGGCGAAGCTTTTCAAATGACTGCACATTGTTTTCCCTCCTTTGCATCTATGACAGAAAAAAGGAAGTAAAATAAATGCCTCATAACAACTAATCATCAAGGCCGATGATTTAGCAAGAATATTTAAGGTCAAAGTAACCAAAGTCGCATACCCTCCTTGTGTGAAGTCTGTGAGCCTTCTCTCTTGGCCTAAATACATTATATGGATTGGTATCACTAACAGGTGGAGGAGGCTGCAAGAATGAAGGTAGAAAAAGCAATCAGAAACTCAGAATGTAATCACTTGTAACTGGTGGAGTCACAGAACACCAAATCTAAATACGATTATCTCTTACGAGGGTGCATATATCAAAAATCCACCAAAATGAAATAAAGAAAAGGAACCTTAAAACTTTTCAATAGGAAAAATATCACCGGTCATATGTTAGAAAAAATTTGTGCAAATAGGAGCGATGATGCAACAATATTTCATGTGAGAATTCTTGCACGAAAAAATTGATTAAACAGGAAAAAGCAAGACAGAAAAAATGAACAGTGAATGCAACATTGGAACTTTTAGCTTTGAGGGATATGAAACAACCAAAAACATTCTATTTGAAATATCTCACTCATCGTCAAGAATGAGGACAGGAAATTAAAGAAAGGGAATGTGTAGCATTAAGTTCTGAAGAAGCAAAAATACCAAATTCTAATTTCTAAGGAGCTTCACTGATACACATTTTAGTATTTTCTTCTACAAGTATGGCCAAAAATTAGACACCATTAATATTATTGCATGATATGAGTCCAGCTTTCTCTTCTAATGGAAGAGAGTAACTTCCCAAAAAAACATGCAGAAAATCTCTTTTAGTGCTTGAAAGATATGTTGAAATTAATATGAAGTGATGAAAGAAAACAACATCAATAGAAGAATATGGTCATGGCTTCAGTTGATGCTTATTTGAAGGCCCAAAAATATCAAAGAGAACCAGTAAAGTTATTTGATATAGCCAGGCAAACTGAGAATAAAATGACAAGCACTGAGGTATACCTGTCATAAGAGGAAATTAATTTAACAAACAAGGAGACTAAATACTGGAAAAACTCAGATAGACGTAGAAGAGAAGAGAAGGCCAAAACAGAAAGAGGGAATAAATTGGTTTATGCAAATTTTCTTGGTACTTATTGAAATTAATAAGAATGTAAATTCAAGGAGCTACATTCCCTATTTATTTCCTTCTTCATTCCTATTAATCCAGCTCCCGAGTATACATTTTCAAGAGAAGAAGTGTAACTGAACTAGCAGATAGAGATTATATATATTATCTAACATGACAATCAAATCACAACGAATTCAAAAACTATTAAGGACAAAAAGAGATTTAAAAATCACCAGTGAAAAGTGTGTTAGATTATTTACTAACATAATAAATTCAAAAATGGAAATCTCTGACTTTAAGAGGCTAACTAACTCAAGATATCTCTTTACTATTTCTTCTGGATGAGTCTGTCTGAAGAATAAAATTCAAATGATAAAACCATCAGAGAAAATTCGGGGAAGGGAACCTTGTCCATATGTTTTCTACAGAACAAACTAATGAGTTATGGAACACAAAGAAGATTGCTTGATAAACCATATATGTACTATGTGTAACCCCAATGCAATCATTTATATCTGGATTACAATACAGAAATTAAAACTTGACCTGCAAACGCCGAAGAATAGGCTTCTGCCACCGTTCCCGCTGGTAGACAAGAAATGTGAATTCCAAGAAAAAGAGATGTGTGAGATTCATCTTTAACATATCAAATTACTAAAAATCTAGCAATGCTGATAATAAAAAAGAAAACATCATAGCACCAATTAATTAGTCAAGCACTTGAAGTCCATTGCATTTTGGTACATAACTGAACAATGATTGAGATATCAAGAAACTTATCACCGTGCATATCAAGTCCAGTATATGTAAAATTGAATAGGAAGTTCTTTTTTTAAAAAAAGAAGGAAAATAGGAGGCACAAGCTATCCCAAACACCGCAGCTATCGAAAAACAAAAAATAGGAAGTCTTGCATCAAGTCATATAACCACATACAATTTTTTTTGGAACTTCTATTTTATTTTAATTTTTTTAACTTGAACACCATACAATTTGTTTAATAGATGTTTTGAACAATAATCCTTAGGACTATATATATCCAATAAATGAGGTCTTCTTTCTATCAGAATGAATTACCTAATAGAAGCCACATATCCGTTCACAACCATTTAAGATACATAGTTTCAGCCATCCCAAACGATCCAAACTGAAATTTTTTGTCCAAAAAGGATTGCATTAGCACCTATTGTGTATAGCTGCTGATACAAACATGATCTGAAATTTGACAGGATAGGTTCATCTGTAGACTTACTGATTACAATGGCCACTAATGATCATGCTAGTATAAGAATAAGTGGAGAGGAACTTCATAGATGTATGTTGTATCATGTATGCATACAGATATCAGTTTCAATACCAACTATAATAATCCCTCCAACTGGAATCCCATTCACTTTTTCTTCATCAAATTACACAACATAAAATGATGTTAAATCACAGTATCACACAGCATAAATTGGTGAGGAATAGGTACCTTGTCTTTCCAGTAAGTATAAATTGACTGGAAAATTCCATATTTGATGGTTAGAGATTGCAATGCCTAGATTTCAGGGAAAGAAAGAAAGGTCAACCATTAGACTCAACGCAAGCCAACTCTCTTTAGAAAATAAGTAAAACTACTGAATTACAACACTCAGAGAAGCAAATCAATCTCACAAAAGAAAACCAGTCATGACATCTGAAATTAAGATCACGCAAGAAGCAGAAAGCTCTTGTACATGTTATGCATTTATAACTAAACAAATTAAAATATACCACAACCCCCCCCCCCCCCCAAATAATGTTACCTCCATACCTAAAATATGCATTTATTCAATACATAGACATAAGTTGCAGACTGATGCTTCTCAGTGAAACAGTAATTTTCAGACATCTCCTACAAAAGATGTCGTCCCTTTCTATTGAACTGATACAACGCATACCAGAACACGGAAAATTTCAACTTGACAGTAAAAAATGCCAAAGAAGGCCAATGATCTCAAACTTTCTTTACATGATACGTCCTTTGAGTTTAACACGATTTCTGTCTGAAAACTGATATCACCTCTTCAGGTCCTTAACTGAGAATTTTAGAAGTTAACAGTAATCTTCATGTCAATTAAAATTAGAACCTATCTCTTTACTTACTAAATATTTGGAAGTATGAGAAGTCCATCATGTATAAGAATCGAACTCTTTGGTCTCAAAGTAACCCTTCTTCAATCAAAGACCAGAAGCTACACATAATTATCATTGGATTTTGGTAGTTCTCCGTAGAAGAAAACAATTAACCATTGGGGATACCACAACATCGGTGACTTTCTGCAACTGTGCAATATAATTGCATCCATAATTCAACAGCTTTATGTGAAGGCTTTTTTTCACGATTACATAAAAGAGCAGGAAAACAATGGACCAAACAACCAAAAGAGACACTAGCTGGCACTAGAAAACTTATAGCACATAATGACTCCTTTGAATATTCCTCCCATGCATCCCTTGAGATCATTTAGTTCATCGGATCACTTAGTCAAGAAACAAAAGCAGAAGGACTACAAAAAGAAAGAAATTGTTTTGGTTCTTCTTCTGATCATTCAACACATTGCCTCTAAGAATTCTGTTGTAATTTTGCAGACTAACGTAAGAGGTAAACTAAATAATGAACATAGGTTCTCTACAAAGTCCACATTAACAACAAAAAGATGAAACTTATTACCAAACCAACAGTATCAACTACTCGAAAGGATCCTTTTAAATAACAAAGCAACAAAAAGTCAAAAGTAAAACCAGCAAACGAAACATATTAAGCAGAGACATTTTCACCTCAACAGAAGCATCGAAACTTAGAAGCACCGGGATAGGTGAGTTAAGAGTAGGAGTAATCACTCCTGCTCTTTCTCGGGCCTTGTGATCTAAAACCTCTAATTTGTGCAGAATGGTCTCCAACCTATATCAGGCAAAAAGTAAAGTCTGAATAAGCAAATCCAAAATTCAAATCATGAACAAGGTTTATATAATTGGATAGTAACAAGATGAAGATAATGTATAATTAGAGAAAATCCTGTGGATGAAAGAAAAATATTTGAAGCAAAATACAGAATAAAAATAAGATAATGAAGACGGATAGCAGTGTGAGGGAATAGGGCATAGCAGTCTGACTGAGTTGGAGAGCAACAAGGAAAACAGAAGTGCTCAAAAAAATGCTGGTCTGTTAGCTAGTCAACTGTAGGAGAACTTGTAAGGATAAACTAAGGAAAGAAAGCATTCTATGTTGCTAGAGCTAATGAAACCAAGTAAAGTGAAACGAGACAGTGACAAACAAGTTTTTGGCATATAAGAAATTCTACCTCACATGAGGTTAAAATCAGGTTAGAAAATGGATGGGCTAGTTAATATGGACTGTCAGACAATACGCAGAAGACTCTTGATCAAGGTAAGGTCAAGGTAGGTAATCTAAGAAGATCCCAAAAATTAATGAGCTTTTGCTCTAAACATCCATGTCATATAACATGTCCCTGTATTATGATCACCTTTGCCTGCGCAAGCTTTGACCTCCAGAGCCATGTAAGGATTCCAGAAGAATGGCTTGAGCGTCAATGTGGTTCAAAGCATCAAAAGTGAAGTCAGGTTTCCATTATTGAAGCACACCGGAGCACTTCAGACAACACTGGCAAGATCAGAGAGAGGCTCTTCCCCTAAAATTGGGCAGTCATGATTTATTAGCAACTATCTATGTAGCACTTCAATTGGCTAATATATAGCTTAAGAAGTTGTAATATGAGTATATAATGGAATCATTCTATCTCCTCTTTTTTTATAATGGGATGGTGGAGTCCTAGCAAACTTGCTTGCACCTCGACTAATTTTACCGGGGATCTGCTACCTCCCACCAACACAGACACCGGTAGCTCTACCAATCAATGCTTGGCATATGAGAAGATATCACCTATTGTTTTTTACTTCACTGATATTTGAACCTTTATTGACCACCAGGCCACACCCTTGGGTGCAGAATCATTCTATATCCTTATTTTTCTTAAATTTTGTTTTCTAGGTTGCCTAAGCATTGGTGTCGTGGTCACATGTAGTGCCGATGAGTTATAATGAAACCTGCACCGGAAATATCCATAATCCTTTCTTTTTTTTGGTTTTAGATAAGATAAAGACCATAAACCATTAACTTTGGATGGGTTTTAGCAGGTCTTAATTCTTCTCTTTTTTTGTGAGATTAGCACGTCTTACTTCTTTTGACAGAATGAATAGTTGCAAGTACTAGAATTCACCATATCCACAGAAGTGCAACAATTAATCCAGTAAATACTAGTAAAAAAATAATTAAACAGTGCAATCAAGAAAATGGGAAGACCAACTACCAGGAGAAACAGATAGTAATCAGTAATCATTCAAAAGTACATTAATGAGGTAAGAATGAAAACAAGACTGCCACCAACCAATTAAACAGACAATGAACACAACACAATATACATGTAGGAGTACAGTAAGATTTTTACTTTTCAGCTGCAAGAGCCTTTCTCTCTCTGTTTAGGTCTTGAAGCCAATCTTCATCCTCGTTGTCAAGATCGTACTCAACAAATTCTCCAATCTCGGCTCGGGCTATAGTTAATTTAACAAAATTTCAGTAAGTTCATTTTTAAGATAAAGAATAAACAGCATATTTCAGAAGTTACTATCAACTTTGAAGAAAATCAAATACTAGTCATGTTCTTCGCATACCTCCTCTAGCATGTATATAAGATGTTGGCTGAGCAAAAGTGCGTGAATAATCTCTTTCATATGTATCCACCACCACATACTCAGGTATAGGTATTTCAGGAATAAACTTCTTGCTAGAAGTGTGTTGTACCTAAGGAATAAATTTTTCCAGCACAATCAATTTAGCAACAAATACAACCTATCCAGATATCAAACCTAAATTCCACATCTTATTCCGCACCATAAACTTCACAGTTTCGAAAATATTCTATGATTCTAGTAGACAACTTCCAGTGGAGTTTAAAGCAAGAACAGTTTCCTCATATTGCAAAAACCAAAAATTTTAAGATCTCTTGATACAAATTTTAAAAACGATAAAAAGAAAGATAAGTAAACTTCTGAAAGTATGTTGATGGCATCTAAGATACAAGGAAATCAAAATAGATTATTGAACATCTAATTTTTCATCTCTCGCTTAAAAAAAGGTGCCCATTTCCCAAAGAAGTTGAGTGTACTGCACAGCAACAAACTTTTAACATCTCAAACTAACCTTCTAGTATTTAGGATATACCAGTTTTATGGCTATGCCTTAGTCACTTCCGGGGAAGAAACAATTGGAGAACTCTTTAATTATCACAGACAACTTTCTCGGAATATTCCTCAGTGAATGAACTAAAAATGGCTTCACTTTGTTTTCTGGTGCTTCAAAAGTAGAATAGGTTAAACAAATTAAGAAAATTATAACCCGTTGTAATCAGACATTGCACCTTAGTGTCTCACAACGAACGTTTCCCCAAAAACACCTTCACACCAAAGATGCCTGAAAACTTTGATTAGGGGAAATACAGCCTTAAAACCATCAAGGCCTTAAAATTCTGACAACAAGTACTTTACAATTCCAAAGATCTGCATCTCTTCAAGAACACCACCAAATAAAAGAAGCAGCAGTCCACACTTCATCATTCAAAACGAAAGAAGGAAGACCACATTTAGCAAGTAAATGCTTGTCAGGTGGCTCATACTTTTATCATTCAATAACACCAAACCATCAGTAACACTGACCTAAGTAAAAACTAAAACTACAATAACTACTGTCATTTCTAGAATGAGGAGTCTTCTGATGACTTATGATCTCCTATTTTAATTAGAGACCAGCAGAAGCGAAAGGGAAACAATACATAAAATGATTTTCCCATGAAAACAGAGTTTCAAGTAAGAATTAGAAATAGGAACAATTCATACACCATATCAGAAGCTAATCTAAAAACCACTAAGTCCATAGTATGCGTCTCTTAAGAAACTTGGAAAACGTCTCTAGTATGATACTATAATGAATGGATTACCTCCTCTCTTTTTTTGGATATGTTCACTAATTTGCTTAAGAAAACCAGAACCCTCCTCTATGTTCAACCATTAACAGTATATAGTTGTCAACTTGGCTAACAAGATAAGTACACCACACCACTAGAAGCCCTCAAACACAGTCATACAAGCTTCAGAGTACCTTTCTTGAGCATCATGACTTATTTTATCATGAATTTGTGCAAGAAAAATTGTTTTGAGCATTCTTTTATAAATGCCGTAAAAAATCTGACTTTAGTTCAAGACAAAGAAACTGAGTTGCAGGGTATGCATTATACTTCCAATAATAGGGAAAACAAAATACCAAAGAGCCATTGCCCAACACTCTGCATAGGCGATTCTCAAGACAATTAATTCCCCTTTGTTTAACCAAAGCATGTAAATTACATTCGGACATACACTTTAGTTAAGAAGATATTCATGGCCCCAAATCCAAAAACATTGAATTATTATGGTTATTGACAGTAAATTATCAGCAAATAGAGATCACTTACCACTAGACTAAAAATTTCACAGAACGTATGAAGAACCCAAAGCTCATTCTTTTTAATAGCTAAATGTCTGAATGATCTTTCTCAATATTGAGGAAGAAAATGAAGACCTAAACAGTCATTTCATCTGCATACTCAAATATATTTCTCTAGAGCTTTGTGTTCTACGAACGCTAAACATACACATATCAAACCATGCAACATTAACAATCAAATAGGAACAAGAATGCAGTAGATTATCAAACTTGATTTCAGCAAACCTCAATATCTGCCGCTTCGGCAGCGAGACGAATGATTTGATTGCGGGTATTGGACTGTGAATCATCATCTTCAAAATCCTTTACAGATTTTACAATAGGTAACTTCTTGTGAATGTCAAGTGGACGTGGCCTAAATGAGAGTCTACTCATTATCACGTCAACTCATTATCCAGACAAATAATGAAAACTTGTTTTTTTTTTCTCTTTTTGCCAGCTTCCGCTCTTCATTACCACAAACAAATGAACTCGAAATTAGTGCAAAATAGAACACAGTTAAGAAATAAACTGTCAGGTCATCTCAGAATTCAAATGAGTCGACTTTGACTACCTAGTCACCATTTCAATTCGAATACAACGGTCGAATTTACCTGTTCCCAAGGCGGACTTGCTGAAAACCTATCGGTCGAAATTTAGCACAGGAGAAGAGGTGTTACGTTCAGGGATGGTGATCGACGACGTAGATATTTTGAACGGCTAATCGCCGGAGAAGAAAGAAGATCAATTGCCTCCGGCCGGTTAGGGCTTTTATAGGGGCTTTTGATTGGAATGAGATGTCGCTTAACCCGACAAGTTGAGACGCAGACCTGGACCAATACTCCGTATATTTTGTTGGCTTTTGCATTTTTTATAAGTAAAAATTACATTTAATTACATCTTATCCCTATATTTTCTGAAATTATAAAAATTATTTATAAGATTTCGGAAACATCATTCAATCTGTAGATACATAACTCACAGATTACAAATAATACATTACTTAATAGGAGAGATATATCTGAGAGTATAAAAATGTATCCGATGAAGATTTTTGTAATTTTTTTAAAATGATAAAGAATTTTAGAAAATATGGTAAAATAAGATATGTATTTATATATTTTTTCCTTTTTAGAAACACTATTGATTTATGTAAATTGGATTATTAGGTTAACAAATTTTAAACGAAACTGCCAATTTGATTTCCGATAACTCAATAAGATAATATTAAATTATTATTTTACCTCTAAATATAAAATAGTGACTTTAACATTTTATCAATTCTATTTTTCTAAATTTAGTATTATTTCACTCGTAAGCAAAACAAACTAGCTTTTCTATTGCAATACCTTTTTTCTTCTCTCCACAAATTAGTGTTACCTTCTATATTCTCAATTTTATATTTGATTGTGAAAGACGAACAATTAATGTTGTTTCCGCAATTTATTGTATGAGTCTTTAGAACGAATTTAACAATTTTGTCTTAAACAAAATTGATTAATATAGAAATTTGTGTTGCACTTCTATTCGTGCTATTATTTTTATTTTATTAACATTGTGTATGTAAAATTATATGAGTATTTTCTTATCGATTAAATCGAAAATCAGATGGTTAAGAGATCAAAACTGATAATAAATATCTAATTGATTTGATTATCAATTTAACGTGTTCACACATTGAAAATCGATAATATATAATATTGAACGGAACCAACCGATGCACACCCTAATCCTACATCTAACAATGTATATAAAAGTATGTGAAAAAACATCAATCATAGTTATGCTATAATGAGTTGTGTGGTTTAAAGGATGGAATAAATAATGTTGTCTCATAGATTGTGAGGTATTTTATGAGATTAGTTATTCCACCATATATGAATTAATTTTATGTCATCTTTGAAGTATAAATAATAGAATATATAATTCAGCACTAACTAATCTCATAGTAAATTTCACTTCTTTAAAAAAAAAACATAAAAACATGGCTTATATCAAGTTCTAAAAACTAGCAAAAATATTTATAAGTTTGACATAAAATTATCATTTTTGTAGTGAACTAAATAATACATTATCTAAAATCACAACATGATATTTTAATAAAATAAAATACTAATATCACAATTACTAGTTACTATAATTTGTCAAATTATAATTAGTTATGAAGATCCACTAATGAAAAAATAAATAATAACAATGATAGTAACTAACTATTCTTTAATATAATTTTTTTCATTTTACGGACAATCTTTTCATGATATTTTCATGTTAGATGACCAAAAGGATAAATAAGAATTGGTTGGGAACATAAACAGATGAATCATTTTTCTTTTATGAAATATAAAAGTTTGTAGTAAGTTTAGGGATAATGTATAAGTAGAGTTGTAAAAAAGGGCAGCCCAACCCCATCCGGCCCAAGTCTCGCGAGTCAAGAAATTTGATGGGCTAGGGCGGGCCGACCCTTCATTTGGAAGAGCTTGAAAATGCTCAACCCGACCCAACCCTAGAAGGGTCGTAGGCTGGGGCGGGCTCACCCTTCTTTTTTTTTTCTTTTTTCCTTTTTTTTTCTTTTCAAACTTAAAAGTCTATAACAACAAGAAAATGAAAAGATTTCAAATCAAATATGACAAACAATGGTATTGTTTCAATAAACTAGCAAAAAATCCAGTGTGATTAACATGTATCTAGGATACTAGATACGTGTATCTGGTGTGATATATCCCAGATGTGCGAGTGAGATAAGAGAATGGTGAATCCATTTGGATAGCGAGATAAGAGAGTGGCAAGATGGGAGGGAAGTGAGGGCACGAGATTTGTCTATGTATCCTAGTTACATGCGAATCCATTTGGATAGAGTGTATCTAGAACAAATTACACCTAATTTTGAATTCACATATCTCAAGATACATGCATCTGGATGCACCAAAATTTAATAAGATTAGTAATATTACATAGCGTACATCTAAGTAATTAGCTCATACACTAGTGAGATTTCTCTAAGTTACCCTTAAATAAATAGTTTTGGCCCATGAATCGACCCCAACCCTAGCCCCGGTCAAGCCTCAAGGAGCAAGGACTTATGAGCCCTAGTTTTAAATGGGCTTGAAAAATCATATCCCAACCCTACCCCAATAACAGTTTGGATTGGCCCGGCCCAATGGGCTAAGCCCATTTTGACGGCTCTATGTATAAGTACCCTCAAAACTATGATCGAGATCTCAGCTATAAATCTTAACTTAATTATGGTCATATTACCCCCTCCCCCCTCCGAACTCATTTTTCCATATTTTCATGCACCTTTTGTGCTGACGTGACACCTTCAACCAGGTAAGTTGGTTGTGTTTGTACACACGCATCTATCACGTCAGTAAACATTTTTTTATTTTTTTAAATCTTCTTATTTTCTTTATTTTGTATTTAAATTAAGCATATTTTTTATGAATTTTTTTTACCTTTTATTTAAATTTTTAATTTTTTTTCCTTCATTCATTGTTTTTTCTCTTTTTTTTTTTTTTATTGATTTTATTTACTTTGTTATTTTTTTGTATTTTCTTTTTATTTGATTTCAAATTTAATTCCAAATGCCTCGTATTTAAAAATAAGTTAATTTAGAATGGATATCAAAATAAGTGAAGAAAATCAAATAAAACATAAAAAAAATTAAAACGTTAAAATTAAAGGATACTTTTTAATTAATTATTTTTTTAAAAAAATACACATACTTTTTAAAAAATAATTAAAAGTGAAGATAAAAATTCATGAAAGAAAAAAAACAAAAAGTTTGAAGTGAGGAAGAAATTAAAATATTTTTTTTAAATAGAAAGAAATAAAAAATAATTAAAATATATATGAGTTTTAATATCAATAATTATGTGTACTAACTAATTATAAAATTACGAATTAAAAAAGGACATGTGTCCAATTTTTCACTCATTATTTGCCTTCAACCCTCTATGTCACGTTAGCTTTTAGGGTGTAGTTATTTCATTTTAAAGTTTAGGGGGTAATAAAATCCTAATTAAGTTAAGGTGTGTTGTTGAGATTTTGGTCATAGTTCAGGGGTACTTATGCATCATCCCTAAGCTTTATAATTTAAAAAGAAATCAATAACAATATTTTGATCCAAAAACAAGTTTTTAGTAGATTTTGAATTTTCAGAATTCAATTTTAAAATTTCACAAAAGTAGATTAAGGTTACAAAAGTAGATAAGGTTACTTAGTACCGTATAAAAAAAGAGTTCATCAAAATGGTCATTTATATATGTAATATGTCAATACTGATATTGTATAAATAATGTATAATCATGTAACAAAATTATCATTAAGAAATCAATAGCTATACTTTGATCCAAAAACAAGCTTTTAGTAGTAGATTTTGGATTTTTGGAATTTGATTTTTAAAATTTCCCAAAAGTAGATAAGGTTACTCATATGTACCATAAAAAAAAGGTTAATCAAAATGGTTATATATATATATCGATATCGATATTGTATAAATAATATATAATTATGTATATATTATAGATGTATACATTGCAGACCAATTGCTTTTCGATTGCAGCCAACTCAAATATGGTCTAAACAATTCCAAGATTTAGATATACATTGCTAACAACATATACATGCTTAATAATAGTATAATTTTCGAGAATTATTAATAAACTCTATATGTTTAATTAACTAAACATTAATTGCATATAGTGATGTTGAAGGGTGTTGATAGTAGAATCATTATTTTCTTCATTGTCCATTTATAACAAAAATATGCTCATCATGAAGAAAATGAAGTTCAGGTGTTTGATAAAAGTCCTCCAGACTGTTTTGGCAGTTTTGACTGCTCTTTGAATTTCCTCAAAAGAACAAAACTGCGAGGCCAACTGATTTTTGGTCAACCAGAACGAGAGAGGATAAATCTAGTGCTATTGATCAATCCATGACGAAGGATTTAGTGTAATTTCTTGCATGAGCTTCAATAGCAATGTGACAAGTAAGTCGGTCCGCGAAATGTTAGTTTGTAATTGTATGGCAAGTGAAAAAGAAGTTGTAGCTAAGGATCAAAGTTTGGGAGAAATCTTTAATGAAATGTATGGTGCTAGTTCATACATTTGGTTAATTTGCTAGCTAGCGGACTGGGGAATACTACTTGTGAAACTGGATAATTTACTTGATACAAGGAAAGTAACTTTTGTTGGGGAATAATTTTCAAATATTTGTTTTTTATAAATTCATTTGAAATACCAAAAATGGCTTACAACTTTGTCACCGGTGAATGGTTATTATACATGGATAATTTGCTTGAATATTGTTGTTGCAAGAGAATATAACTGTAATATGGGATGGTTATGCTCTCGGTTTTTGTAGCTATTATGTTATGTTGCAGACGATATCATCTTTTGAGGATGGTAGAAAAAAGGGAATGATGTATTTTGAGGGTCTACTGTGTTATGTTTTTGGATCAGTTCGTGTTGGCTGTTACACTAAGTTGCCAGATTTCTATATGTATGCGAGTCAATGATGGAACATTAGTATCGAGGAAACAGTTCAATACATCGAGAATCATTGAGCTTAATTTGGACTTGTTCTTGAAAGTTTTGAGTGTCTTTACAAGTGGAAATTCCTTGATTGGTGCTACCTTCAATGTTGATAGATTCAGTGAACATAAGATTTTGACAGCAATATAATGGGGCATAGCAAGCAGATCTTCAGTTCTGGTACAAAGGATGTTTCTAGCAGTGGTCAGGATCTAAATTTGATCCTGAAAATGATGTGTATTTCTTAGATGCATTGCCCGATAATATTGGCGTGGACAGTTACATTTTACTTTTGAGAGTGCCCTACACAA